GCAGGCGACACAATGACACTATAGACACGCTCCGTGTCACTAGTTAAAATTGCTTATTTCTCTGGATTTAAATATTCCTCGAAATATTTGGGATAATGTAAGTACACAAGTCAGCAAAATATATTACACTGTTCTAGTGGTTTTTGGATATTTTAATAAAAAAATCTTACATGTTGTGCCTTTAATGCAAGATTAATGCATAGTGCATATATTTATCAAAATGCTGCTCTCTACCTGACTCGTGAGTTTATGGACACTGAATGTCTTTCCTGAGGTAAATGTAAACACGTCATCAGAGAAGCACTAATTAAATGTCAATTATTTCGACCCTTAAAAACAGCTTTGGATGAAACCAAAAGTTTCAGCAAAAAATGTTCTTTGTTGTCGAAATTTCGGTGCATCACTAAATTCTTAGCTGTTTATTATTATTTTTTATTTACTGTTATTCAATGACAATGTTATGCTGTTGTGTGTTTCTGACACTCACACGTAGAGATGATTGACGCGTGGATTGACGCCCAGTGAGTTCATCCAGTTCCTGAAGGTTCGCTCCTCTCTGGTCTCTCCTGACAGACATGAGAACATGATCACATCAGTTTAACATGATCTCTGAATATTGATCAGCAGCTTTACAATATATTGTAAACTAATTTATTTCTGTGATGCGCAGCTGTATTTTCAGCATCATTACTCCAGTCTTCAGTGTCACATGATCTTCAGAAATCAGTGCTGCTCAAGAAACATTTCTGATTATTATTATTATTATAAATATTGAAAACAGTTGAGTACATTTTTTTCAGGATTCTTTGATGAATAGAAAGATCCAATGATGGATGGATGGATCTTTTTGCAATATTTTTTAGCTGATAAAAACAACTTCTGACCATGGCATTGATCTATTTCAGTTCCCATTATTTACTTTCCATCATGTTGCTCCAAACCTGTATGATGTTTTGAAGAGTCTTGGGAATCAAACCGTTTCGGTTTCCATTTACTTTAATTATATGGACAAAAAAGTCAATGGAAGTCAATGGGAACTGAAACGGTTTGGTAGAAACCTCTTGTTTTGGGTTCAGCAGAAGGTTTGTAGATTAAATGATCTGACGGTTCAGACGGACTCACCCTCGATGGCGCTCCAGTCGATGTCCTGGTTCTCTGGCTTCTTCAGAGCTGGGTACTTGTTGAAGAGGTTGGCCACGTAGGCCAGGTTGAGTTTGGGGTTTCCTCGCACCACGTCTGTGGCCGTGACGAACTGACGGCATCCGAGGCGCTCTGCCTGCTCCAGCATGGTCTCGGCTCTCTTCAGCTCGTCTTTCTCCTGCGATGGCGAGATGATCATGTGTTCTCAGTGCTGTCTCAATGTGTGCATGTTAATGATGTACTGATGAGCGGTTTCCTCACCCGAATCCCAGACATGTCGATCGGGATGGCCGGGACGCCCTCCTCGTCTCCTTTGGGTGCCACCTGGTTCAGGATGTTGTAATAGGCCTTGGAGTCCTTCAGACGACAGTGAAGATGAGGTTATGAGCGCTGTCTCCATCACAGTGCTTCCGGCATATTTACATTCAGAGAGCAGCTTCATTTACACTGATTTACAGAATCACAGCAGGACCTACATGATAGTAGAGTCGCTCGTAGATGGATGGATGGACAGATAGATAGATGGATGGATAGATAGACAGACAAGAGAGATAGATGGATGGATGGCTAGACAGACAGAGAGATAGATGGACGATGGATAGATAGACAGAGAGAGAGATGGATGGATGGATGGCTAGACAGACAGAGATAGATGGATGGATGGCTAGACACGGAGAGAGAGATGGATGGATGGATAGATAGACAGACAGAGAGATAGATGGCTGGATGGCTAGACAGAGAGAGATAGATAGATGGATGGATGGCTAGACAGAGAGAGAGATGGATGGATGGATAGATAGACAGACAGAGATGGATGGATAGACAGACAGACAGAGAGATGGATGGATAGATAGACAGACAGAGAGATAGATGGATGGATGGATAGATAGACAGAGAGAGATAGATGGATGGATGGATGGATAGACAGAGAGATGGATGGATAGACAGACAGACAGAGAGATGGATGGATAGATAGACAGAGAGATAGATGGATGGATGGATAGACAGACAGAGACATAGATGGACAATGGATAGATAGACAGAGAGAGAGATGGATGGATGGATATATAGACAGACAGAGAGATGGATGGATGGATAGATAGACAGACAGAGAGATAGATGGATGGATGGATAGACAGAGAGAGAGAGAGATAGATGGATGGATGGATGGATAGACAGAGAGATGGATGGATAGACAGACAGACAGAGAGATGGATGGATAGATAGACAGACAGAGAGATAGATGGATGGATAGACAGAGAGATGGATGGATAGACAGACAGACAGAGAGATGGATGGATAGATAGACAGACAGAGAGATAGATGGATGGATAGACAGAGAGATGGATGGATAGATAGACAGACAGAGAGATAGATGGATGGATGGATAGATAGACAGACAGAGAGATGGATGGATGGATGGATAGACAGAGAGAGAGAGATGGATGGATGGATGGATAGATAGACAGAGAGAGAGATGGATGGATGGATGACTAGACAGACAGAGAGATAGATGGATGGATGGATAGATAGACAGACAGAGAGATACATAGATGGATGGATGGATAGATAGACAGACAGAGAGATACATAGATGGATGGATGGATAGATAGACAGAGAGATAGATGGATGGATGGATAGATAGACAGAGAGAGATAGATGGATGGATGGATGGATAGATAGATAGACAGAGAGAGAGGTAGATGGATGGATGGATGGATGGATGGATATATAGACAGACAGAGATAGATGGATGGATGGATAGATAGACAGAGAGAGAGAGAGATGGATGGATGGATGGATGGATGGATGGATGGATGGATGGATGGATAGATAGATAGATAGATAGATAGAAACAACAACAGCAATTCATTTCGTCCTAAATATTGTGTGGATGTAATTCTTTTGAGGAGAAGATATTTAGGCTGTAAATGTTTGAGCGTGATGACTATGAATGTGAAGAGCCCTGCCGCTCTATTTCTGAGCTACATTTGACCTGACTCTGTGCATTCAGATACAGAGCGAGAGACAGAGAGAGAGAGATGGATGGATGGATGGATGGATAGATAGACAGACAGAGAGAGAGATGGATGGATGGATGGATGGATGGATAGACAGACAGAGAGAGAGATGAATGGATGGATAGATAGACAGAGAGAGAGATGGATGGATGGATGGATGGATAGATAGACAGAGAGAGAGATGGATGGATGGATAGACAGAGAGAGAGATGGAGAGATGGATAGATAGAGAGAGAGATGGATGGATGGATGGAGAGAGAGATGGATGGATGGATGGATGGATGGATAGACAGAGAGAGAGATGGATGGATGGATGGATAGATAGACAGAGAGAGAGATAGATGGATGGATGGATAGATAGACAGAGAGAGAGATAGATGGATGGATGGATAGATAGACAGAGAGAGAGATAGATGGATGGATGGATAGATAGACAGAGAGAGAGATAGATGGATGGATGGATAGATAGACAGAGAGAGAGATAGATGGATGGATGGATAGATAGACAGAGAGAGAGATAGATGGATGGATGGATAGATAGACAGAGAGAGAGATAGATGGATGGATGGATAGATAGACAGAGAGAGAGATAGATGGATGGATGGATAGATAGACAGAGAGAGAGATAGATGGATGGATGGATAGATAGACAGAGAGAGAGATAGATGGATGGATGGATAGATAGACAGAGAGAGAGATAGATGGATGGATGGATAGATAGACAGACAGAGAGATAGATGGATGGATAGATAGACAGAGAGAGAGATAGATGGATGGATGGATGGATGATTTGATAGACAGACAGAGAGATAGATGGATGGATAGATAGACAGAGAGAGAGATGGATGGATGGATAGACAGAGAGAGAGAGAGATAGATGGATGGATGGATGGATAGACAGAGAGATGGATGGATAGACAGACAGACAGAGAGATGGATGGATAGGATGGATGGATGGATAGATAGATAGACAGAGAGATAGATGATGGATGGATGGACAGAGAGAGAGATGGATGGATATATAGACAGAGAGATAGATGGATGGATAGATAGAGAGAGAGATGGATGGATAGATAGACAGACAGAGAGATACATAGATGGATGGACAGATAGACAGACAGAGAGATAGATGGATGGATGGATGGATGGATAGACAGAGAGATAGATGGATTTCTCGGTCTATGGTTCAGTCTCAGCGTGGTTACCTTGATGTCGGAGCTGAAGTTGTTGATCTTGGAGCAGCCGGCCTCCTCCAGGTGATAGTTAGCCCAGCGCAGCAGCAGCTCCTCAGGAGACAGCTTGACCAGATCCTCCAGACTCTCTCCATCCCTGAGCAGAGAGATCAGAGCTGCACACACACACACACACACACACACACGGCATGCGTTAGATCAACACACGTGTCGGTTACTCTAAAGAAATACGCAAACTCTCAACATTCCCTAATGTTAGTATTTGGTTATTGTTTTAACCAAATAAATGTTCCAGGAATAACCGATAATTATGTTCCAGGAATGTTCTATTTTAGATTTGTATTTCTTATAACCATGAAATAATGTTCTCTGAACATTGCAGGGAGGTTTTTAGACAACATTAAAATTACATAAACCAACTAATGGTTGATTTTAGGTTTATAGTACAACCATAAATTAATGTATACAAAACATTCCCTCATGGTTTCATTTTTACAACTATAAAATAACTTGTACAGAATGTTCTCTGATGGTTACTTTTATTTTTACAGTCATATATTAACTTACACAGAACATTCTCTATTTTAAAGTTGTAAAAATATAACCTAAAATAGCTATTAGGCAACATTCTGTAAAGTTATTTTATGATTGTAAAGCTAACCTAAAAACAACTATTAGGAAACGTTCTGTTTAAGTTAATGGCTTGTGTGTGTGTGTGTGTGTGTGTGTGTGTATACCTACATGCCTTTCCCAGCACTAAATGCTGCCTGCCCTCTTTCAGGTCCTCTGCTCCGATGTTCACCACGTGGCAGCCGATGGCGGAGGCAGAGTTCAGCGCCAGGTTCAGATTCTCCTGCACATTTACACATGAACACCAGCATTAAAACCCAATAAAACAGCAGTGAGTGAGACAGTCCAGCAGATCGTGGACGGACCTGGATGGTGAAGGGCGTCAGCTTCTTCTTGTTGATGGTTCTCTCGTCGATAGTGTCCGGCACAGACAGGTTGATCATTTTACTGCGAACAGAGCGTAAACACATATGTGACCCCGGACCACAAAATAAGGGTCAATTTTTTTTTTATTGAGATTTATACATCATCTAATAGCTGAATAAATAATCTTTCCATTGATGTATGGTTTGTTAGGATAGGACAATATTTGAAAATCTGGAATCTGAGGGTGCAAACAAATCTGTTATTGAGAAAATCATCTTTAAAGTTGTTCAAATGAAGTTCTTAGCAATGCATATTACTAATCAAAAATTAAGTTTTGATATATTTACGGTAGGACATTTACAAAATATCTTCATGGAACATGATCTTAATATCCTAATGATTTTTGGCATAAAAGAGAAATGTATAATTTTGACCCATACAATGTATTGTTGGCTATTGCTACAAATATACCCCAGCGACTTAACACTGCTTTTGTGCTGCAGGGAGACATATGTCTGACGAGTGAAATACGGTCGTGTTGAATGTGAAGGTGTTTTTGCGCTGCAGTACCAGAGCACGATGCCGTCGCCCACCGCGGTGAACAGATCGTTGGAGCTGGGATCCATGGGAACAACATGCTGGCAGTCCGGATCCTTCTCCAGCGCTTTATTGACCCAGTTCACGAACGCCACCTTCTCCTCCTCTGCACACGGCACACAGAACACAGTTAGTTAGAAAAACCTTGTTTTCAAATGTTTCTATAACGTTAAAATGTCCAGTTTTCTTGTTGCGATTAGAATGTTATTTAAAGGTTACAAAAACGTTTTTTAAACGTACTACTAATTTTATTTTCACCCAAAATATAATGTTATTTGAACGTTTATTTTTCATATACTAAGGACATTAAAATGTCCAGTTTTCATCATGATTTTAATGATATTTAAAGGTTACAAAAACATTTTTTTATAATGTTCTACAAACTTTAGTTTTTAATCCAAATATAACATCATTTAAATGTTTATTTTTCATATTTTAATAACGCTGAAACATCCAGTTTTCTTGTTGTGATTAGAAAGTTATTTAAAGGTTACAAAAACTTTTTTTACTCAAAATATAGTGTTATTTGAACGTTTATTTTTCATATTCTTGAAGGACATTAAAATGTCGTTTTCTTCTTGTAATTTTAAAGAAAACATTTCTTAAATGTTCTACTAACTTTATTTTCACACAAGATAAAACGTTATTCATATGTTTATTTTTTAATATTCTTAAGAATGTTAAAATATCCTGTTTTCTTGCCACAATTCTAACGTTATTTAATGGTTACAAAAAAGTGATTTACCCAAATTATAACATTATTTCAGTTTATTTTTAGTATTCTGAGAACACTGAAAACGCAGTTTTCTTGTCAATATTACAATGCTATTTAAAGGTTGCAGAAACATTTCTTACAATGTTCTACTAATTTTATTTTTACCCAAAATATAACATTCAAACGTTTATTTTTAATATTCTAAGAACTTTAAAATGTCCAGTTTTCTTGTTGTCATTAGAATGTTGTTTAAAGGTTACGAAAACGTTTATACAATGGTGATCAAGTACAAATAACATCATAAGGGCATTTAGAGAATGTTGATCATTATAAACATTATGAGAACATAATATTAATAAAGTTATAAGAACATTCCATAAACATTTTTTTAAGAACATTTTGTCCAAACAGTTATGTAGCTCGTATGTAAATCGTTAGTGGAAGTTGTGAGCATGTTCCCTGTTAGCTGGGCTCCAGCATCAGGATTATCAAAGGCGTTTGCGCTGGTCTCACCGGAGTACGAGTGCTGCGTTCCCGACTGTTCCGAGGTTCCGGCCACTGAACAGATGCCCTCCTTCTTATTGATGGCCTTACGGAAGGTCTTGGCCACTTCTGAGCTCTTCAGGTCATGGACCACCTGAGACAGACGGGTTTTGCTTAAAGTTTTTGCTTAAAACAAGAGCAGCCAGAGGAGTACAGGATTTTTTGGCAGTGATGGCAGAGCTGTGACTTTTGACCTGACCTTGGCAAACTCGTCGAAGGTGATCTTCCCGTCCTTGTTGAGGTCCATGGTCCTGCTGAGCTCCTGGACGATCTCACGCACGCGGTATCCCGGCAGAGGCAGGTTCGCCACCTTGAAGAGTTCGTTCAGCTCATCGGTGCTGATGTGACCGTTACCGTCCACATCTGTGGGACGAGGTCAAAGGTCAGTGCCAACGCATGATCTGAATCACTCTCATGAACTCACTCTTTTAATGAATCACTCAAAAAAAAAACTCAGAGTCTCTCAAATCCATATGTAGATTGTGTTGTTTCAGTTTTCATTTTAGTTTTAGTCATTTTATGTTTTCTATTTAGCTTTATTATATATATTTTTCAGTTCAAGTAATTTTAGCACTTCAACTTATTCCTTTATTTTTTATTTTAATGTAATTTTGAATTTTAAGAGTTTCATTTGATATTTCAGCATTATTTCAATGAGCAAAAACATTTTAATAGCTTTTATGACAGAGTTTTAGTGCCACGTTAAAAAAATCTACAATTATGAGATTAAAGTCGTAATATTTTGAGAATAAAGTCAATGTTTCGATAATATAGACAAAATTACGAGAATAAAGTCTAAATGTTTCGAGACTAAATTCGAAATGTTTCGAGAATAAAGTCTAAATGTTTTGAGAATAAAGTCGAAATATTTGAGAATAAAGTCGAAATGTTTCGAGAATAATATCGGAATGTTTCGAGAATAAAGTCGTAATGTTTCAAGTATAAAATTGTAATGTTTCGAGAATAAAGTCGGAATGTTTCGAGAATAAGGTCGTAATGTTTCGAGAATAAAATCGTAATGTTTCGAGAATAAAGTCGTAATGTTTCGAGTATAAAATCGTAATGTTTCGAGAATAAAGTCGGAATGTTTCAAGTATAAAATTGTAATGTTTCGAGAATAAAGTCGGAATGTTTCGAGAATAAGGTCGTAATGTTTCGAGAATAAAATCGTAATGTTTCGAGAATAAAGTCGTAATGTTTCGAGTATAAAATCGTAATGTTTCGAGAATAAAGTCGGAATGTTTCAAGTATAAAATTGTAATGTTTCGAGAATAAAGTCGGAATGTTTCGAGAATAATGTCGGAATGTTTCGAGAATAAAGTCGGAATGTTTTGAGAATAAAGTCGGAATGTTTTGAGAATAAAGTCGGAATGTTTCGAGAATAAAATCGGAATGTTTCGAGACTAAATTCGAAATTACGAGAATAAAGTCTAAATGTTTTGAGAATTAATTAGAAATTACGAGAATAAAGTCGGAATGTTTCGGGAATAAAGTCGGAATGTTTCGAGAATGAAGTCGGAATGTTTCGAGAATAAAGTCAAAATGTTTCGAGAATAAAATTGAAAATGAGAGAAAGTCTAAATGTTTTTCGAGAATAAAGTCGAAATTACGAGAATAAAGTCCAAATGTTTCGAGAATAAAGTCGAAATGTTTCGAGAATAAAGTCAAAATTATGAGAATTAAATTGTAGCAATTAAAGTTGTATTATTTTGAGAGTTAGCCTATATTGCGCATACAGATAGCCCGGATTGGGAGCACTGGGAGAAGTTGCCAGGCCACCGGAATTGATTTGAATATGTGTGGAATAGGATTATTAGCAGAAATCATACCATGTGTCATACAGTATACTTGCAGGGACAGTATGCTTGGAAATAATATTTCTCATCTTCGATTGCACTCATTATTTGTAGTGCGCCAACCACCCAATAATAGCAATAAGCTTTGTGCTTTTGGTACTTTTAATAAAACAAAGCCTCAGCTTTTAAATTATGCCAGTTTTATAGCGAAATACAAACAATATGTCTTGTAATAATGTGTTTTTCATGCTCTTTAATGATGGATTGCTGTATTCCTGTGAATCAGTTGTCTTTTTGATTACAATGAGACATTTGTTTCATTAAATTATACTGTTTTCTTTGTGAAAATTTCAATGTCTGTGGCGTCCAACCTTTCATTCCTCACGTGTATTTAATTAAAAACAATGATAAAAGGCTCTAAAGGTTGAAGTGGGCTCCAACTTAAGTTATATTGTCTTTTCTGAGGTATATAACTTTAAGTGAATATTCACAAGCTGTTTTATTCACGGTATAATACAGTAAATTATTAGAAATAATATTCAACATCTCAAATCCATTCATTATTTGTAGTGCGCCAGTCACCCAGTAATCGCAATAATTTTGCCTTTAATATAACACAGCTCAGCTTTCAAATTCTGTCAGTTTTATCACGAAATACAAATTATAAACGTGTTTTTCCTCTTTATTTCAAGTTATAGCCTGATATAAATGTGAAGGAACATCAGAAGGCATGAAAAAAAAAAACCAGTAGAGCCTAATTTAATAAAACGAATTACTTAATGTAATCGGAAAGACGACTGATTCACATGAATACAGCGATCTGTCACAACACATTAAAGAGCGTGAAAAACACATTATTACAAAACATATTGTTTGTATTTCGCTATAAAACTGACAGAATTTGAAAGCTGAGACTTTGGAATTTCTCCCAGTGCTCCCAATCTGGGCCATTTGCAAAAGCAATATTCTCAAAATATTATAACTTTAGTCTTGTAATTGCTATGACTTAATTCTCATAATTTTGACTTTATTCTCGAAATATTTCAACTTTATTCTCGTAATGTTGACTTTATTGTCAAAATATTTTTACTTTATTCTCGTAATGTTGACTTTATTGTCAAAATATTTTTACTTTATTCTCGTAATGTTGACTTTATTGTCAAAATATTTTTACTTTATTCTCATAATTTTGATTTTATTCTCGAAATATTCTGACTTTTTTCTCGTAATTTTGACTTTATTCTGAAAATATTTTGAATTTATTCTCATATTGCTACAACTTTATTCTTGTAATTTTGATTTGTTTTTTTTCCTCAAAATATTATGACTTTAATATCATTTTTAAAAAATTATATATTTTTTTTATCGTGGCACTAAAATGCCATTGTCAGTTTTAGTTCAGGTTTAGTTAATAATAGCAACACTGGTTTGAATCAGTGTAATGAACTGATTCTTTTAATGAATCATGTTTACATTGTAATAAATGGCAATTGGATTAAAACAAAAGTACTATTATTTTTGTTAAGAAATGTGAACAATTGATTTGGAAAAAAGCACTAAAAGAATCATTAATGAAATGGCTGAGGAGCCAGAATCGTTTAGAGGAATCAGATATGAAAGAGTTATTCATGAATCAGTTCAGTCTGCTTCCTCTATTGTGTTTGACTGCAGATGAAGCTGCGTCTGAATGAAAATGTCTCTTCACTCACCCACTTTACTGAAGGCCTCTCTCATTTCCTCCATCTCCTCCGCTGGGATGTGTGATGTGCCCTCCATCTTCTCCTGTCTCGATAAATCACCTGTCAATCAGAGAGACAGTGTGTGTGTTGATGAACTGAGATCTTCACTATACTGATGGAGGCCGTCTGATTGGCCTGAGAGTGTTTTCTATAACAGTGCGATGTGAAGATGAACACATCCAGAGAAAAGTTTGAGCAAGAGCTTCGCACCGGAAACACAGACAGCTGCTGCTGCTGGTCTTTGAATAACAGCCTGTGGTTTGAGGAGGAGAAACTAAAACTGCAGCTCAACATCAGCATAGCATACGCTTGAGAACGACCAACTCTTACTGCAACGGACAGCAATGCCGGTGAACATTACTGTACTTCACAGCAGATCTAAACAACCAGAGAATAAAACATCAGCAGATCCAGATAACAGGAAACATTTTCATGTTCTGGCAAAGTCATGAACAAACGTTCTTCCAATAACTTTAATAGAACATTTATTCAGAGTTCTCTGCTCTTTAATGATGTTCTCAAAATGTTAGCACAACATTATTCATACACTGTTCATGGAATGTTTATTTCTGAAACGTTCTAGTTGGGGTGTTTATCTAGCATTCTTGTTTCAGAACGTTCAGAACATTCAAAAGTAACGTTCCCATGATGTTTGCAAAATGATAATGTAACTTTTGCTTAAATTTTTATTTTTAGAGTATTCAGAGAACGTTCAGAACAAAAAAACATTTCGTAACAATCAAAACATTAGCAAAACGTTCTTGGAACTAATTTTTATCTGGTTATCTGGTCTTTAATAACTTTCTCAAAACGTTAACAGAAATGTCATTTATGAATCGTTCATGGAACTTTTCATTTCTGAAACGTTTCTCTAACGTTTCTTAAATGTTACTACTTGTTTCAGAACTTTCAGAGAACATTCAAAAGTAACGTTTGCAAAATAATACAATGTAACTTTCGCTTAAGCAAACAAAAACGTTTTTAAAACATTTAAAATATTGGATGTTTCTAGCATTTAGAGAACATTCAAAAGTAACATTCGCAGAATGTTTGCAAAGTGATCAAATGGAATGTTTACTTAACATTCTTACGACCAAGAAAAAACATTTTTAAAACATTTAAAAAAACTGGCCATTTTGAACATTTGGAGAACATTCTGAAATAACGTTTTCATAACTGGGGATTATGGCCATGTTGGAAAAGTCTTCTTCAACTTAGCTTTGTTAGGTTGGGTTTGGACTTCCTGCTTGTGAAGGTGTGAGATGTTTCTGAGACGTGAGTGAGATCCTCTGATTGTCACGTTAACAAATGCAGGAATATGTCAGTGATCATGGAGGAGGTTTAAAGCTAATGTTTTTAAACCCAGCTGTGACATTCTTGTAAGTTTACATCTCCAGAAAACAGTCTATACTGAGAGAAAACTAGCAAAACTATAAATCTGTTTTTAATAAGAGCTCATTTGTGTTTTGTTCATGTAAATCAGACGGATGCTTTTATCAATGCATTTAACATGCAAATGCTGCTCTCTTTAAAGCGACGTCTGTTCACAGCAGTCAAACAATCAGATGCTCGTTTGCATCTTTTATGGCAAAGATAAGCCCTTTTATTTTATCAGCACAAATGTTGCACTGAAAACTCCTTTCTCTGTCTTTAAACACTTGAGCAACAGAACAACTGCTGCTTATTTCAGTATCATTTCAAAATGTCTGTTTGCCATGTGCATCACATGCTCTGAGCTTCCTCTTTCAGACGTGTTTGTTTCCGCGCTGCATGATGACGGCCTGGAAACTGATATGATATCATGAAAACTTAGTGAAGGTGTGAACGAAACTTTAAGGCTCAGAGATGAGATAGAGAGCAGATGCTGGAGATCAAGCTGCAGCTTCACATCAGAATGAATGCAGTCGCTGCTCAGATCAACCGCAGTTTCCTGTTTCACTTTAACAGCACAGCAAAGCTTCACTTCTGCTTCAGATTACACTCAAAAACCCCCAACACTTCATCAAACCGACACGTACATCACTGAACACACAGCAGGCCTGAACGGCTGAGAGAACACTGAAAATATGCCATTCAAAATAAAATTAAGCTTTATGATTCTGAACCTACACTGAAAAAATATTGGTGTAGAAACTATTTTCACTCAGAAATTTCAAAAACAATTACAAAGAAATGATGAGTAACTCATAGAAAAACTAACATAGTTTTACTTGTAAAACATACTCCAATTTTGTTTTATTTTTCATTTATTTATTTTTACAGAGAAGTTGTAAACAAAGATTATTGGAGTGTTTTACAAAAAAAACTACTTCACAATTTCACATTCAGTTCAATGTGTTATTTACCATTTCCTTGTAATTATTTGTGAAATTTACTAGCAATTTGACTGAGTACACCATTTTTTGTTCAGTGCAATGTCATTTGTAATAGAAAAACAGCATTTTTTAATTAAATTAAACGGCATTTGCAAATATAAGTATTTTTACTATCAGATGTTAGTCCTCGACTGTATGTCTGCATTTAATATTAATCTAAACCTGAGAAGTCAAGAAACTAATGAAATGCATGAGAAACACAAACCTGCACAATCTTTATACACTTAAAAATAAAGCTGTTTCTGTGTTCAGCACACCTGATCAAGAACCGAAAGCTTCTGCTTTGAGATCAAGTGCTGTATTTTGAAGAGTGCAGCATGTTTTCTGTCAGAATGAGCTCAGATCTAGTGATGATCAGAGATGGGTTTGATGAGTTTCTCTTACCTGCAGACGGACGCTGGGCTTCAGGCTGCTTCGGAGTCTGGACGCGTTCAGAGGAGCTGCAGCGACTCTATTCAAATGTGAGAGGAAGGAAGTGACTTACAGCGGCCTACACGACACTCGAAACAGGAACACGCACGCTCCATGTCTTTATAAGGTAAAACGCTTGGCATCTGCACACTCAAACAAACATGATGGACGTCTGACAGCATCTGACACACTTCTGAGATCTGACTGTGCTGAGGTTTGATCTTCTCAATGGATCCATTCAAGAACGTAACCACACGTTTGGATCAACTAATGTCATCATTTAAGAATCATCTTATGATTTGCTGCAAATGTTTCCACATTCAAATGGTCCACCAGGTTTGGATTAAAGGAAAAATTCAATCAAAACCAAAAATGTGCTGAAAATGTGTTCACTCTCAGGCCATCCAAGATTAGGCACTGCATGAAAAGGGTCAAATCTGGTAATATCTGGTCATGGTAAACTGCCGTGTAATTTCAGGTTTGCCGGATGTATGTGGAAATTACCTGAGCCAAGTTACACAGAACAGTACATTTCCAGAAATACCCATGTACTCCGGTGTACACGGACATATACAGGAATCCGTGAAGTTTCATGGACGTATACGGCTGAAACACTGCTGGTTGTGAGGACTGGTGGCTGTCAGACCTTTAATATGTTAATGACCAGCAGTTAAGGTGCTTACTGTGTTCTCAGGTGGAGGGAGGGGGTGAGCTAGGGAAGTTTCACAAAACAGCCTCAAAAAAGTCTTAAATATAGCTAGCCTTATTATTTTTGACAGAGCCATTAGAGAATGTCTCAGTTACGTACGTAACCCTCGTTCCCTGATGGAGGGAATGGAGACGTTATGTCATGACGACATATGGGGATTTACTTGGAAGCCCCAGTCATCTCTGACTTTAAGAGAAAACGCCAATGAAATTTGGCTAGTGGATTTTGCATACCTGAGCCACTCCCCGTGCATACGGGTATAAATAGGCGACAGGTGCATCCACTCTTCAGGTTTTACGCAGGGTTCACCGTCGAGAGAACTCTACTGGAGGAGGAAAAAGGCGTTCGCATCCCCGGGTGAGGGGGAATGGCGCAGCAAGCGTGACACCAGCCGGCTCTTCCCCCACTTACATGCCACATACACTTTCAAGATGGAGGGTGACAGCCTACGCTCCAAACTTTCTTGCAGGAAAGAAAGCACTACTCCGATCGTGCATCTTCGGGGGTCTTCCTGGTGAAAATTTCCGCAGATTGTGAACAGACTCCACTTCAAGGCAAAAAGCTTGCCTCGTAGAAAGGGGTCTGGCCTGAGTGATAGTGACTTCCACCACCGGTGGGAGAACACTTAGGTCTGCCACGGTCCGCTCGTATCTGGACGCGGGTGACAGTGGTGCCAAGCCCCTGAGAAAGGAGCTCCTTCCTCAGAGGGATGCGCCAGGGAGGGGCTGTCACGAGGAGCATGAGTTCCAACAACCAGGCCCGGGTGGGCCCGTACGACGCAATCAGCAGGGCCTGTTCCTCATCCTCCCTGACCTTGCACAGTGTCTGTGCGAGAAGGCTCACTGGTGGAACCGCATACTTGCATAAAACCCGAGGCCAGCTGTGTGCCCGCGCGTCTGTGCCGAAGGGGGCCTCGGTCAGGGAGTAATGCAGATGGCAGTGGGAGGACTCATGGGAGGCAAACACGTCTACCTGGGCCTCCCCGAAGATCAGCCGGAACGTCTCAGGATGGAGTCGCCATTCTCCGGGGAACGTGAGCTGTCATGAGAGCGCGTCGGCCGCACGATTGAGCTTCCCCGGGATGTGGACGGCACGCAGCGACTTGCGCCGCATCTGACTCCAGGAGAGGAGATGGCGGGCGAGTTGTGACATGCGACGTGATTGTAGACAACCCTGCGAGTTGATGTATGAGACGGTCACAGTGTTGTCCGTACGGACCAACACGTGCTTGCCAAGCAGCAGCGGCCGGAACCGTCGCAAGGCTAGCAGCACTGCCAGCAACTCGAGGCAGTTGATGTGCCAAAGCAATCGAGGCCCTGTCCAGAACCCCGAGGCTGCCTAGTGGCAGCATGTAGCACACCAGCCCACACTGGAGGCATCCATCGTGACAACGACATGCCGAGACACTTGTTCTAAGGGCACCCCGGCCCGTAGAAAGACAAGGTCCGTCCAGGGGCTGAATGAGCGGCAACACGTCGGAGTGAAGGTCACGCAAACTGTACCGTGGCACCATGCCCATCTCGGGACTCTGGAGTGTAATCAGTGCTGAAGTGGTCTCATATGAAGAAATCCGAGCGGCGTGACTGCAGCTGCAGATGCCATATGTTCCAGGAGCCTCTGAAAGTGTTTCAGTGATACCACCGTCATGCCTCTGAAGGAACCCAGGCAGTTCAGCACGGACTGGGCACGCTCGTTGGTGAGACGTGCCGTCATACAGAGTCTAACTCCATACTGGGAAAAGAGATTCTCTGCACGGGGGAGAGCTTGCTCTTTTCCCAGTTGACCTGAAGCCCCAACTGGCTGAGGTGCAGGAGCACCAGGTCCCTGTGATCACACAACTGTTCTTGCGTGGGCCATGCTCAAGATAGTTGAAGATCCTGATGCCCACTTCCCATAACAGGGCAAGGGCACCCTCCACGACCTTCATAAAGACACGGGGGGACAGGGAAAGACCGATGTGGAGGACACTCTACTGCCATGCCCGACCCTCGAACGCAAACCGTAGAAACGGTATGTGTCGATGAAGAATCAAGACATGAAAGTAAGCATCCTTCAGGTCGACCGCTGCCAACCAATCCTGAGGCTGGGTGCATCTGATGATGCGCTACTGCGCCAACATCTTGAACGGAAGCTTGTGAAGGGCCCGATTCGAGACTCGCAGACCCAGGATTGGCTGAAAGCCACCATCTCTCTTGGGTACGATGAAGTAAGGGCTGTAAAACCCCTGCCTCATCTCGGCTGGAGGGACCGGCTCGATTGCATCCTTTGCCAGGAGGACAGCAATCTCCTCACGCAAGACAGGCATATCTCGGACTGTCACCGAAGTCTCGAGAACGCCGCTGAACTCAGGAGGTCGCCTGGCGAACTGAATCGCATAGTCGAGTCTAATTGTGCGAATGAGCCAACGGCCAACGGGAGGCAGCGCAAGCCAAGCCCCCAAACTCTGTGCGAGTGGCACCAAAGGGACAATCGACATACGACATACGGTGCAGTGGCGGGGGGCAGGGCGGGAGGGG